TTGTCATTATCATTCTAATGATGATTGTGATAATAAGGATAACATTGATAATAATAATGATAATAATAATGATTATAATAATAACAATAACAACAGCAGCAATGATGAAAATGATAATAATAATAATATTATTTATGATGAAAGTAATAACAATGATAATAATAACAATGATGATTATCATTATAACGATATAAATGGTAACAGTAGTATTAATAGTAGTAATGATAAAGATATAAAAAAATAACAATAACAAGATAATAACCATCACCATCATCATCACAGCATTCATCACCGTCACCATCATCATCACCATCCACTTCCCCACCATCATCATCACTATCTTTGTCACCCTCACTATCGCCACCTCCATCATCTTCATCACCCTCACCACCAGCATCACCACCATTATCTTCACAATCATCATATTCATCTTCATCATCATCATCCTCTTCACCATCACCATCACCACCACCCTCACCATCATCATTATCATCATATTCATCATCATTATCATCACTATCACCACTTCCCTCACCATCACCATTAACATCATATTCATCGTCACAATCATCATCATCATCCTCACCATCTTCCCTATCATCATCACCACCACCATCATCATCATTATCATCATATTCATCATTAACCACCATCCTCCTCCTCATTCATATTCATCATCAATCATCACACCCTTCTCTTCACACCACCATCATCATATTCATCATCACCATCTCATCCTCATCATCATATTCATCATCAGTCATCACCATCCTCCTCTTCACCATCATCACCATCATTGCAGCGCTGTTGATTCCGGGTGTCTGTCTGTCTAGGGCGCGCCTTCTCAAGACCAATGGCGCAAGATCATCACCATCATCACCATCATCACCATCATCACTATCATCGAGTAACCAGAAGAAGCAGAAGGGAGAAAAAGGGAGAGGGGGGGGGAGGGAGGGAGAGGGAGATGAGGGAGGGAGGGAGAGGGAGGAGGGAGAGGGAGGGAGGGGGGAGGGAGGGAGAGAGAGAGAGAGAGGAGACGAGAGTGAGAGAGGAGAGAGAGAGAGAGAGAGGAGAGAGAGAGAGAGAGAGGGAGGAGGAGAAGAAGAGAGAGAGAGGAGAGAGAGAGAGAGAGAGAGAGAGAGAGAGAGAGAGAGAGGAGAGAGAGATAGAGAGAGAGAGAGAGAGAGAGGAGAGAGAGGGAGAGAGAGAGAGAAGAGAGAGAGAGAGAGAGAGAGAGAGAGAGAGGTGGAGAGAGAGAGAGAGAGAGAGAGAGGGAGAGAGAGAAGAAGAAGAGGGAGTAGAGGGGGAGGGATTGAGGAAGGAGACAGACAGAGACAGACAGACCAAAAAAGAGAGAAGAGAACGAGGAGGGGAAAAAAAAAAATGAAAGCAGCGAAAAATCACATTATAAAACAAGAATAAATCAAAGAGATCGCAAGTATATATATATATATATAATATATATATATATATATATATATTATATATATATATATATTATATATTATATATAAATAGAACTCCCCTATTCCAAAATAATCACCCACCCATTTATAAGAATCCCTTAAAACCCCAAAAATCCAAAGCCAACCAAAACACGTACTTAAGAACCAAAAAAAGTAGTAGTCCCTTAAAGACGATATATATCATATATATATATATATATATATAATATATATATTATATATATATATATATATATATATATATATATATATATATATATATATTTTTCTTGTCTGTCGTCTCTCTCTCTCTTCTGTCTTTCTGTTTCTCTCTCTCTGTCTGTCTTCTGTTTCTCTCTCTGTCTGTTGTCTGTTCTCTCTCTCTGTCTGTCTGTCTGTCTCTCTCTGTCTGTCTGTCTTCTGTTTCTCTCTTCTCTGTCTGTCTGTCTGTTTCTCTCTCTCTGTCTGTCTGTCTCTCTCTCCTCTGTCTGTCTTTCTGTTTCTTTCTCTCTGTCTTTGTGTCTCTCTCTCTCTGTCTGTCTGTCTCTCTCTGTCTGTTGTTGTCTCTCTCTGTCTCTTGTCTTTCTGTTTCTCTCTCTCTGTCTCTCTCTCTCTGTTTCTGTCTCTCCCCTTCTCCTCTCTCTCTCTGTCTGTCTGTCTGTCTGTCTGTCTCTCTCTCTCTAACTCCCTCCCTCCCCCCTCTATCCCTCCCTCCCCCCCTCTCTCGCTCTCGATATACAGAAACATAGTTACGTCAAGAAAGGCAATCCCTTAAAGGCGATATTTGCCGCAAAACCGCCCGAAACTCGACCAGACGTGGGAATCTGTCCGTCAAAAGTCGAGATTCTCAGAACTGCTCCAGGCGGGGGTTGGGGCTGCCACATGTCGCCATCTGACTCATTTCCCTCGAGCCGCCGTTGCAGCCATGACTGGTGATATAATTTTTTTTTCTTCTCTCTCTCTCTCTCTCTCTTTCTCTCTCTCTCTCTTATTGTCTCTCTCTCTCTCTCTCTCTCTCTCGTCTTCGGGAGGAGAATAGACCGGGAGATGAATCATGGAAGGAGGAAAATGATGGGGATTTTTTTAAATAGAAAGAGGAAGAGAGGAGAAGGACAGAAGAGAAGAACAGGAGAACGTGCGCGAGTGTCTTAACCCTTAAAAAAAAAGGAAAAAAAAGACGATTTAAGTAGAAAAAAAAGAACAAAAAGGATTCACAAGACACCGGACAAGGAGGACAGTAAAGGTTCTCATTTTCCTTTGCACGTTTATGAAGGAGACAATTTTTTTTTATTTTTTTAAAATTTATCTATTGATTTTTATTACTTTTTTTATTCTCATTTTTCTTTTCTTTTTTTGTTAACGCGTTGACGTCACGCACGGACATCGATGGTGTGGGTACGAAGAAGAAGAAGAAGGAGGAGAAGGGAGAAGAAGAAGGGGGAAGGAGAGGAGGAGGAGAAGGAGAAGGAGAGGAAGAAGAAGAAGGGGGAGAAAAAAAGAAAGAAGAGAGGAGGAGAAGGAAGAGAAGGAAAAGAGAAAGGAGGAAGAGGAGACAGAGAAAAGGAAGAAGAAGAGGAGGAAGAAGGAGGGGAGGAGGAAGAGATAAGGAGGAGGAGGAGTAGGAGAAAAGAAGAATTAGAGAGGAGGGAGGAGGAGAATAAGAAGGCGAAGAAGAAGACGAAAACGAAGAAAAAGAAAAAGAAGAAAAAAGAGAAAAAAGAAAACGAGGAAGCAAGCAGAAGAGGAGGAGAAGGAGGATCAAACAGCGAAGAGAGAGAGGAGAGAGAGGAGAGAGGGGAGAGGAGGAGAGGAGGAGAGAAAAGGAGTAAAAGTGAACGAAAGACGAGATCGCCCTCCTTCCTGAGCTCATAAGGGCGACCTCCCTACCCACGAACACGGGAAAACCCACCTTACGTGCACCAGCCTCTTTTAGCACTGTTTTCCCCCCCAAAGCCAGACGATCTTCGTGGCCCAGAAGGAGACGCTCGGGAGGGGTTGGATGGGGGGGAGGGGGGTTGGGGTTGGGGTTGGGGTGGGGTTGGGAGGGGGGTTGGGGTTGGGTGAGGGGTGGGGTGGGGTTGGGTTGGGGGGGTGGGTTGGATTAGGGGGGGTAGGGTTGGAAGAGGTGGTGTGGTTGGAAGGGGGGTTGGGGTTGGATGGGGTGGTTGGGGATGGGGTTGGAAGGGGTTGGGGGAGGGGTGGGGTTGGATGGGGTGCTGGGGGCGTATGGTTAGGGTGGGGTTGGGTGAGGGGGGTAGGGTTGGATGGTTTGGGGTTGGGTGAGGTGGTTGGGGGAAGGTGAGAGTGGTGGGGTTGGGTGGGGGGTGGGGTTGGAAGGGCTGCTGGGGCGCATGGTTGGGGTTGGATGGGGTGGTTGGGGTTGGGTGAGGGGGTGGGGTTTTGGGCGTTCCATCGGCGGGTTAATAATGCTTTTGGGTTTTGATTTTGTGTTTAAGGGAGTGTATCGTGACCTAGTTCTGTCTCTGCCTATCTTTTTCTGGCTCTCTCTGTCTCTCTCTCTCTCTCTCTCTCTCTTCTCTCTCTCTCTCTCTCTCTCTCTCTCTCTCTCTCTCTCTCTCTCTCTCTCTCTCTCTCTCTCTCTCTCTCTCTCTTTCTCTCTCCTCTCTCTCTCTTCTCTCTCTCTCTCTCTCCTCTCTCTTCTCTCCTCTCTATCTATCTATCTCTTCTCTCTCTCTCTTCTCTCCTCTCCCCTCTTTCTTCTCCTGTCTCCTCTCCTCTCTCTCTCTCTCTCTCCCCTCTCTCTCTCCTCTCCTCTCTCTCCTCTCTCTCTCTCTCTCTCTCTCTCTCCTCTCTTCTCTCTCTCCTCTCTCCCCCCCCTCTCTTTCTCTCTCCCTCTCTCGTTAAGAGTCATGCTAACCTATTCTAGGGATATGTATGGTGAAGTATGGTGCCACTGAGGTAACACTGTCATTAATATTCTTCACAATTACCCCAATAACATGAGTGGAAATCCACCTTGTTCTGTTTTAAGGGGCTGGGTGATGTATGGTGCAACGAAAAGGGTAAGATGATGTATGGTGCATGTTTTAAAGAGTCTGGGTGAAATATGGTGCACTGTAAGAACCAGGATGATGTATGGTGCATGTTTTAAAGTCTGGGTGAAATATGGTGCATTGTAAGAAGCTGGAGATATTGTGCATTCTAAGGGACAAGATGATGTATGGTGCATGTTTTAAAGAGTCTGGGTGAAATATGGTGCATTGTAAGAAGCAGGATGTTGTGTGGTGATTTTATTTTAAAGATTCTGGGTGAAATATTGTGCATTCTAAGGGGCAAGATGATGTATGGTGCATGTTTTTAAGAGTCTGGGTGAAATATGGTGCATTGTAAGAAGCAGGATGTTGTATGGTGATTTTTTAAGAGTCTGGGTGAAATATGGTGCATTGTAAGAAGCAGGATGTTGTATGGTGATTTTTTAAGAGTCTGGGTGAAATATGGTGCATTGTAAGAAGCAGGATGTTGTGTGGTGATTTTTTTTAAAAAGTCTGGGTGAAATATGGTGCAAGAAGCAGGTTGTTGTGTGGTGATTTTTTAAGAGTCTGGGTGAAAAATGGTGAATTCTAAGGGACAAGATGATGTATGGTGCATATTTTTAAAGATTCTGGGTGAAATATGGTGCATTGTAAGGAGCAGGATGATGTATGGTGCATGTTTTAAAGATTCTGGGTGATATATGGTGAATCCTAAGAAACAGGTTGAAATATGGTGATTTTGTTCAAAGAGATGGTGTATGTTGCATGTTATTAAGATCCTGGTTGAAATATGGTGAATTTTAAGAGGCAGGTTGAAGTATGGTGCTTTCTTTTTCTTCTAAGAGCTTGGTTTTATGTTGCATTCTAAGAAGCAAGATAGTGTATGTTGCATGTTAAGAACCTGGTTGAAATATGGTGTATTCTAAGAAGCATGATGAGCCTGGTTAAAGTATGGTGCAATCGAAGTATATGGTTGAAGTATGGTGTTACTTTTAAATAACCTGGTATAAGTATGGTGAAATCTAAGTATTTGGTTGATGTATGGTGATATTTTTTAAAGAGCCTGGTTAAAGTATTGTGCATTCGAAAGGAGGATGTGGCGGTGTGGTGAGGATTGTGGCGGAGTGGTGGGGTGGTGTGGGTGTGGTGGCGGAGTGGTGGCGGTAGTGGCGGAGTGGTGGCGGTGGTGGCCGTGATGGCGGTGGAATAGTGACGGTGTGGTGACGGAGTGGTGCGGTGGTGCGGTGGCGCGGAGTGGTGACGGAATAGTGGCGGCGGTGGGGGTGTGGTGACAGAATGGTGGCGGAGTGTTGCCGGAGTGGTGGTGGAATAGTGACGGTGTGGTGACGGAATTGCGGTGTGGTGTTGTGGTGAGGAGTGGTGTTGTGGTTCCGGAATAGCGGCGGTGGTGGCGATGTGGTGATGGTGGCGGAGTGGTGTGGTGCCGGAATAGTGGCGGTGTGGTGACTGAGTGGTGATGGTGGCGGTGTGGTGACAGCTCCCTCTAACCTTATTTAGCCGAGGGTCTAGAACCTTCATTCAGAACCGATACTTAAGTACTGTTGGGTTACCGTAAGACTGAGGGAGGGGGGTAGGGGTAGGGAGGGAAGGGAGGAGAGAGGGAGAGGGGAAGGGAGAGGGAAGGAAAGGGAGGGGGAGAGGGGGAGGGGGAAGAATGGGAAGAGGGAGGGGAAGGGAAGGAGGGAAGGGAGGAGGAGGAGAAGGGAGGGGAGGGAGGGAAGGGGGAGGGGGAAGGGGAGGGGAGCGAAGGGAAGGGGAGGGGAAGAAAGGGAGGAAGAGGGAAGAGGTGGGAGGGGAGGAGGGAGGGAGGAGAGGGGAAGGGAGGGAGGGAAGGAGAAGCGAAGGGAAGGGAGGGGAAGAAAGTGGGGAAGGGAGAGGGGGGAGACGGTGAAGGGAAAGTTGAAGGGCAAGGAGAAGAGATGGGAGGGGAAGGAGGGGAAGGGAAGGGAAGAAGGGGTAAGGGAGGGCAGGGTGATAGCACGCGGTTTGGGCGATATTATTAAGAGCAAAAAGAGTATTTTCCGAAAGTAAAAACAAACAAAATAACAAACAATGCATATATAAAAACAACTTTAAATTTCCCCTTTAATTCAATCTTCAATTTAAATTCAGTCTTCAATACCTTTAAATATTATTGAAGCAAAAACGCGGGAAATTATTAGAAATTAAAAACAAAAGAAAACCCAAATCAGTTTAGGCTCGTAATCCTTCTAGGCTCGTAGTTCATTTATCATTATTCTCGTTTTTTTTCAACTGATATTTTATATAAATAATAACAATAATAATTGATATAATCTATTTTCTGTAAAAAAAGGGAATGATATAAAAAGGAATAATAATAATAGGGAATGAGAGAGAGAAAGGAAAATTATAGGAACGGGAAAATAATGAAGAAAATGAAGAAAATAAGATGAAGATAGAATAAAGCAGAAATAGAGAGATAAGGAGATAGATAAATAGATGGAAAGATACGACATATGTCATGGTTCATTATTGTTGTCATTTAAATAGATAGATAGATAGATGGATAGATATATATAGATAGATAGATAGATATGGATATAGATAGATAGATAGATAGATAGATAGAGATAGACATATAGATAGATAGATAGATAGTAGATAGATAGATAGATAGTAGACGAATAGATATAGACAGACAGACAGATAGATAGATAGATAGATAGATAAATTAATAGGCAGATAGATAGACAGATAGATATTTAGATAGATATATAAATGTATATATTATGTATATAGTAGATACACTGCCTACTGTGTGCGGTAGAGAAGACAAAGTGGTAAAAATAGACACTTTTATGTTTTTATAAACCTTTTTAAGACCAGTTACTCGTATCTACCAGTATCTACCCACTATATCTACCCGCTGTATCTTCCCCGATATACCCGCTATGTATATCCTCTGTATCTACTCGCTGTATCTACCTGTGGTATCTACTTGCGGTATCTACCTGTAATTTAAAGATAAGTCGCCCTTAACAACTTGTATCTACCCGTTGTATCTATCCTCTGTATCTGTCCACTGTATCTACCCTCTGTATCTACCCGCATTATCTACCCTAATCTACCCAGACACAGAGTAAATATCTACCTTCTCTCTACCCAGGTTTCTACCCTGCGTGCCCTACCGATCTATTTTGGGGTTTCATATCGACTACCTCTTTAGGGATGGGTTTTACCGGTCGGTTGTCTACCTGGCGCCGTCTACCTGTCTACCGAGGCTCGACAACCTGCCATCTACCGTTATTTTTTTTTTTTATTTTTATTTTTTTGACGTTTGTGGAAGGAATTAAAAAAATATGTGGTTGGTGTTTTTGTTTGTGTTTGTGGGTGTTTTTTTTTAAGGGGGGGGGGTGATGGGGGTTGTTTTGAGGGTAGGGGGGTGAGGAGGGAGGGAGGGGTGGAGAGGGAGAGGAAGGTAGGGAGTGAGGGAGGGAGGGGGAAAGAGAATGAGAGAGAAAGAGAGAAAGCAATGAGAATAGAAAGAGAGAGAGAGAGAGAGAGAGAGAGAGAGAGAGAGAGAGAGAGAGAGAGAGAGAGAGAGAGAGAGAGAGAGAGAGAGAGAGAGAGAGAGAGAGAGAGAGAGAGAGAGAAAGAAAGAGAAGAGAAGAGAGATAAAAGAAGAAAGAAAGAGAAAGAAAGAAAGAGAGAAGAAAAAAACGAAAGAAAGAAAGAGAAGAAAGAAAAAAATAGAGAACAACAACAAAAAAAGCGAAACCAAAAAAAAACAGACAAACAGACAGAGAGAAATAAGAATAAAAATCAAAGACCGACAACACACAGAAGAGAAAGAAGGAAGAGAAAGGCGAAACCAAAGACAAAGGCATAAACAAAGACGTGATAAAGATGAGAAGAAAGGAAAAGACGTAAAAAAAAGAAAATGATTATTCTTATCATGACCCGTGTGAATATTATTGCTATCATCATCATTATCATGATTATCCTATTATTAGTTTTACAAGAATCATTATCATTATTGTTATATATATATATATATATATATATAATATATATATATTATATATTTATATATATTCATATACATACATGTGTGTGTGTGTATATATATATGCATATATATATATATATATATATATATATATATTATATATATTATATATATATATATATATATATATATTTATATGTATATATATATATATATATATATATATATATATATATATATATATATATTATATATATATATATATATATATATATATATATATATATATATATATATATATATATATATATATATATATATATATATATATATATATATATATATATATATATATATATTATATAATAAATGAATAATATAAATATATATATATATATATATATATATATATATATATATATAATATATATATATATATATGTATATATATATATATATATAATATATATATATATATATATATATATATATATATTATATATATATATATATATACATTATATATAATATATATATATATATATATATATATATATATATATATATTATATATATATATATATTATATATATATATACACACCACACACACACAAAGGAAACACGATAAGACGATAAAAAAAATAAAAATCGCCAAATTGCGCGGGGACAGAACAGCTGGATTACTTAAACTATCAACAAGTGGATAAAAAGAATCGATTTTCTAATAAATATATATTGTCTGTGAAACCGCCAGAGTGTAAAGGAAAGATGCATTGTTGAAGAATAGTTTGTCTAATAATTTTTGTCTAATATTTTGTCTAATTTTCTAATATAACATTTGTCTAATATAGTTTGTCTAATAATTACATTACATTCTAAAAATAATGATTATGAAAATGACAGTGATAGAGATGTCAAGAAAAACAATGATTATAATGATATCAGTGATAATGGCAATAACATATAACTCCTATTGATAAAGATAATAAATAACAATGATAATACTAGTAAAGTAATAGCAATAGTAACCAAATAGAACAATGAAAATAAAACAAATACAAACAAGAAAACGAACAATATGACAACCAAAAACAATATGAATCGATCAGCTGAGAGGCGCAGGATTTTGAGGGACCCCGAATATAAAATATTATCGTTCAATTGTAATAATAAGGACGGCGCTTAATAATAATTAAAATGATGATGATGATGATGATGAAATGATGATAATGATGGTGATTGCAGCATAAATAGCGATAACAATAATGGCTATATCAATGATAATAATAATATTGATAACGAAATAATGGCAATGATGGTGATGATGATAATAATGACGATTATGATAATAATGATAATGAAGATAATAACGACAACAATAATCATAACAATGTTCATAGATGATAATCACAACCACTACCATGTATTGATAATTATAACAATGATAACAAAGTTTGTTACTTGAACCACCTATTAATAATAATAATAATATAATAATAATGATAATAATAATAATAATGATAATATAAATAATAATAATAATAATAATAATAATAATAATAAATAATAATATAATAATAACAACAAAATAATAATAATAATAATAATAATAATAATATAATAATAATAATAATAATAATAATATAATAATAATAATAAAATAAATAATAATAATAATAATAATAACAAAACAACAACATAATAA